TAAAAACAAATTAGTCACTCGCATTCATACCTTAGATCACGTCCGGAAATCAAATGTAAGCACAATATAAGAGCTACCGGTGCATTATGCGATAACTTGATGGTCCATCTGTGTGAGAGCGCCCGCCATGCAAGCCTTGTCCGCCATCCTGGTCAGTTTTTTCCGCGCATCGCCATCGCCCTTCGCCTATCATGCTTCCGAACCCTTGGGTGTGCTTGTTTGTCAGACTGAATTTATTCGATTGGGAAATGTTCGTACTTGAGTTTTTACGAACGTACTTAATGCATGCGACGTTTTTTTGGCATGAATTTTGTCCTGACTTGCTTTGTCAGTAAGAACATTCTCCATAAGTTGTCCGTACCAAAAGAATATTTCCTTGCGAACCTTTGCGTACGAACTTTTTAAATTTGCTTGCATACAATGCTTACATACTTCATGCGTACATACTTGTGTCGTAAAACCACGAAATGAGGTGTGGTGGCGCCACCTATACCCATCACAACTCTCGCGATATAAAAGGGCGACAACGGTGCTTGGCCGTCACGGGACGTGGCGCAGCGCAGAACGTGGACAGGAGAAAGTGAATACAAGACGATGGGGCACTAAAGTCAATTTTGAAGTCGCTTTCCTATGTCGTGATACGCAACATGATTGATTACCATGACACCCATGGGACATACATGGACATGGATTTACCATGACGTCCATACTTACGCGCATTGACAGATGACCCGGATTCTGCCCGCACCGTCTACGCACGGTAGGGCGAGGCAATGCCGGTGTAGTACAGAAGTACTCGAATTTTGCAGGCTTTACTACACAGCTGAAATTTCTGTGGCTGCGGCGGATGAGGGATGTGAACATATGCAATGTATGTTTGATGGCTGAAGAGTGCGCAAAGTGAGACTTTCGTCTCATTTCAGAACGAAGCTATCCATATAAGGCGGCTGTATATGACCTCTTTATACCACAATGCATCCATCGTGATCGGAAAGCAATGGATTGTATCATAACCTTTGAAAATTAAGATAGTTAAGATCATCGCACCGGCGCCGATGTCGCAGCACACTACATCATCGGGCTAATAGGCTCTTATATTGGTCGTTTGGTAGACGAGTCGGGAAGGACCTGTCGAAACCAATCATTTGAGTCATAGGACAAAATTTCCCTGCTGCATTAGTACTGAAAGAGTTAGCTGGGTAAGTTTGCGAGATGCTCCTGCGTGGAGCTGGTTCGCAAGATCCCTGAAAAGCCTGAGCTCGTCGGAAAAACGTGCTGCGCAATATAGGGTGGTTGGTACCCTTAGGCACAATGCCTTTATCGAAAACAAAAGCAGAAGAGGTGCCTATGTTTCCGAGTATCAGATAGCTGTTGTTTCGGTAGGTTTCCGAGGACGAAAGCTATTACTTATGTCTTATTTAAGTTGGCCAAGGTGGGATCCCGGGAAATGTCGGCTTGATTAGGTTTGTGACGTCATTGGGTAATTTATATGCTCGGCAACAGCAAGGAGCATGTATCATTCAGCAGATATTTTGAATTATATTCAGCAGAGCATGTGTTATGTTTGACATTTTATGCCTTACATCCAGCAGAACATGTGTTGCATTCAGCAGCATTTCATATACATTGTGTTATAGTTGTTCATGCATATCACATTAGTGTAATTTGCATAAAGGATCATCTTTCAGACAGCTGGAAACTTTCAGAATTGTGAGCTGATTTGCAATTTTTGCGGTTATGAATAAGCCTAGTCAGTCTTTCTGTGCTTGGCATCTGCTGTCACTCCTACCACACATTGGTCCCAAAATGTCAGCTGTGGACATAGTGTAAATTTGCTAGGAATATAATTTGTTCTCTCCGCAAGCCGTGATCATACAATTTTTGTTCTCCCTCCCCAGAGCTGAAAGCAAGTTTCAGACACTGGTCAGGTTAGTTCAAAATTTGAAATGAACCTCCCTGCACTGAATGTCAGCTGCCAAAATGCCAGGCATTCAGCCATTTCATATTGATGACAAGGGTGAAGATGTGATCAGAGCTTCCCCCTATTGCTGATGTGTTGCATCAACTGAAGCTTGAAATGGTTTGCTGTTGCCTATATAATGTGCTAGATGGTGCAGGCAATGATATTTTGTACTGTATTTTATGAATTTTGTGCTATGTTCAGACAAAATTGTATGTCATTAAGGTCTATAATAGTTTCTGACCCAATGCTGTGAGTCATGAATATTCATTTCTTGACACATTGGGAGACTAAAAGAACTGGGTAAACCTGCAAAAAATAATGTTTAATTTTAATGGGAGGGATATTCACAACTTGGTAGTAGAAATATAAGTGTTACTGACACAGCTCTTACCAAGTAACCAGCAACACTCACCGTGTACATCGGATGCGACCATGTAATACTGTATTCAGTACTTGTGGAAACATGAAAGTTGTGCTGTAAGAAATGTAATAATATTGCCACCATTAATAATAGTTTCTTTGTGGTTTATTGATTAGAGCTCTGTGTTTTCCCTACAATTATCCATCCTTTTGCCATAATTCACCCTTCATTCCCAGATGCACATTCCAGTTCTGTTCCATTGCTATATTGTATCTTTCCTGCAAGTTATACAATGAACTATATTGGGTAATAAGTTGACAGTAATATGAAGAAATGACATGTGTCACAAGTATGGCTATATGGGAAATATCATAATCAGGTGTACCAGCTCACTGACAAAGACTACAGGCTCACTTTTTGTCCATTCCCAACTTGAAGTTCAGGTCTGAACCTGCCTGGAGTCAGAATGACTTGCCTGTTATTTAGCTGTTACACCCTGTGTTACATCTGTGTTACTGCGTGACTCACCTGCATGTACCTGTTTTACTTACTGTGTTAAGTTAAAAAATGACTAGGCTGGCATTACAAAATGGTTGATCCAATGAGAGGCTATTATATGATATGTAGAGTTTTTGAGGTATCATAATTATAAATACCCAAGGGCAGTCAGTTCTATCTGATCAGATAATTTTTCCTCTGGCCACCTTGGCAGACTGGATTTCAAATGTATTTGCACTGTTTTAGTATGCTACAAGATGGCAGGCTTTGGCCAAGGTATGGCATTTCCCTAATTCCATATGGTATTTCCCTAGCCTTGTAACAATTGTCTTGCTTGTTGCCATGCCCATGTACTCTAACTAGTCACTGTGTGTAAACACTTCCATTCATGTTGCGATAAGTAGGCAGTGCTATTATTGAAAAGGTGATTCATCAAAATATGGGACTCATCTTTTGTGGTTCCTGCCCAGTGTTTGCCTCAACAAGATTTTGAAACCTGCTGTACCATGTCTTACAGGTGGTTTTGTGTGCTATGATGGCTTAACTGATTTCAATGCTGTGAAGTTGGTTGAACAATGTCACTTGCTATTGTTTCTTTTTGGAACATTGGCATTTAGCATCTCAGTGTGACTAGATATTGTTTGGGATGGTGCATTTTAATGTCAGATAAGGTAATTCTGCATTTATTTTCACCACAGAAATGGTTTAATGTTTTGTTTGAAGTTGTGCCCTTCCTAGACATAAATGAAATGGCTTTGCATGCATATTGAAAGACGTTGCTTTGCATCCAATGTCATTTTCATAGCCTTGTAACAATGGTCTTGCTTATTCTATACAATGTAACAAAATGTTGTTGGTTTGTGATGGTGGTGCCACCAGCATGTCATCAATGGTGACCAGGAAGAGGGAGGTGAGCTGGTGAGCAGTTGGAGTCATGGTACTATGCATCCTTGTGTCCATTGGCAACATCAGTTATATGATACATTCAGAGCAAAGATGTTCTTTTAAGACTGTGATATTGTTGGAAATTATTTTTTAAAAATCCTGGTTGCTGAGTACACATTTTCTATTGTGGAGTACAAAATTATCCAAGTGCTGCAGGTCATTTCAGCTTTATTTAGGTTATCTTTGAGAGGTAATAGTACAATGGGTGGCACTCAACAAAGGCGCCACTTTTCATATACAGCAATCCATGTAAAAACACTTTAAATGAAAGGAAACATCAGTATTAAGCATGGCAAACTGAAACAACACAGTCTTATACTCTGAAATACTCTCACTATACTCTACTTGTACTCATACTCACATACGAGTATGACTACATATGTATACATATACATGCATACTTATATAAATACTCATACTCCCATAATATGAAACACATGTGCATATACATTGGTTTGCAATTTATGAAAGGCTCTGTGTAAACACCCTCCAAAACCGAGGGTAATTACGCATCGGGCTTATACACTCTCCAAAATGGAGGGTGGCTACACACCGGGCTTATACACCATCCAGAATGGAGGCTGGGCACGACACGCACAGCCAGACAAAAATGGTACACAAAAAATGCAAATGAACATGCCACAGACGGCCACCTACTCATGCTCCACCACAATCACGCCACTCACGCTCCACCACTGTCACGCTACTCACGCTCCACCAGCTAACTGGTTTTAAAAGCAGCTAAACATTCATGCCCTCCACCTTCCCAATCCCGGTCAACACACGAGGCCCTGCACGTCCCACCCGAACAGTGGAAACAGGCAGCACTCTTAACCGATTTACGGAGTCAGCGCAAGTACAATGCTTGACAGACCCGTGCAGGCCGGCCAAAGAGGACCGGAGTCAGTCACTCCATTGACTCCGGCGGATAATGCAAGGTATTGATTGCTTTTGATGCGCTTTAACCGATATTATTGCGAAATGATAATTTATGTTGCAATTAATTGATTTTTTGTCCTAACAAACCCCTCTCCTTAATTTGCCGGGCCAAAGTTATGGGTTCATATTACTTTGGGGTCCCGTGTTTTTCCGGAGTGAGGTGGCTGTCTCCGAACAGTTTTTGCGCTATTGATATCAGCGTTTTTCGGCTTAGGGGTATTTTTGGGGGTATTTTTTAAATGACAACTGTAACTTGGTTTCAGTCCACAGCTGCCATAGCATTTTTGTACTCTGGATACCAGGAACTGGCGAACATCCAACCACATGGCGGTTCTGGATGGGTACAAATAAGTCCTTCATAGTCGTGATGCCCATCTCTACACAACTTCCCTCCAAATGTGTACAAATCTGTTCAAGGCATGAGCGTGAGCAGAATGTTTATGCTCTTGACAAATCAGTCACAAGTAGGTGATTCATTCAAACCAGTTGGAGAGTTTTGCTATGTTCAACCTCCAACCTTAGCTTGGAAGCTGGCGCAAGCCACTGAATAGTTGAAACGTGTCCGACGCTGAATTGCGAGTGATCCTCTTATTTGCGTTGCCATGACACAGTGGTGGCGCGTGGGTAGGCAGCCGTCTGCGGTAGGTGGTTGGGCATGCGGTGTTCTATGAATGTTCGTCGCATACTTGGCAAGTAATGCGGTTCGTCGTCAATGGTAGGTTAAGTCATGTTTAAGTTTGAGTTGGTCTGCGTAGGGCATAGGAAGTGAGAGCTTTGCTTACCTACAGACTTGTGCGATTCTGGTACCCGTTTATCACTTTCCACTATTGTTTAAAAGTGATTCCATCCAACATTCGCACACTTTATTTTTCACATTTCCATACATGGTTTATCATATACCTATGTGGAAATTCAGGCTGCTTGCTATTGGGCATCTTAGTGTGGTGGGTGCAAGATTTGTGCTTTTGCAGATATCAATACATGGCTCCTGATGGAAGCAACAAGTCTCAGCTGTTGCACCTTCTGATTTTATTTTGTCCTGACACAAAAAAAGTAAAGTGAGTTTTTTTCCAAAAGCTGCTCTTGTTGCATTATGATGGATTACAAAACATTTCATTTTGCCTAGTTACAATCCTGGAGTACAAAATCTCCTGGCATACATTATACCAGGAAACATGAAGTTTTCCAACACTGGACAGTGACCAAGCTGGCACACAAAGTAAAAGACATGACCATATAACCATGCTGTACAAGATTCAGTACCAGTCGTGATGGCTTACCTGAAAGATGGTTTCTTTTTTCAGACATGGCTTCAGCACAGCAAAGGGCATTGCCTCAAAGCAAGGAGGCATTGCTGAAATCCTACAATAAGAGGTTGAAAGATGATATCAAGTCAATGCTTGACAATTTTGTTGGTAAGCACTTGCACACTGAGCACACTGAGCATGGTTTGTTCTTTTGTGCTATGGCAATGAACAAATGGTGTAAATGCTGCTGCAATGATTTGTGGATCAGGGGATGACAGCGGATCATGTCACCATTCATTTTATGATGAAATGTTTTTGGTGGTGACAAGAAAGCATTGTATCACACATGCTTTATTGTCCCTTGTTAACTCAGCATGGCCCATTTCCACCTCTCTCCCCACAAGAGGCAGGTGTGCAGACTGTGTCAAATCGCCGATCACGTCGCCCACAGAGATCATAAAGCTGGGCAAGATCGAGGACGAGACGCAGGTGACGCGACTGACGCAGTCAGGCCAGGACATGTTCGAGATGCACGTCCGGGCGGCCAACATCGTAAGCACGACTCTCCCAGTTGGAGGTGGGAGCGTCGCGATCTGGGTCCCAAGCGCGACGCACGGGCTGGAGTGCTCTGCTTGCCGCCTGTGCGCCGTGCGTAAAGCAGTACGCACTTTTGCCCGGATTGCAAAGAAAATTATGGACATGACTTGATGAGATATGCAGATGTGGTTTTCAGCAGCGCGCTACAGGCGGCGTGATGTCGGCTTACTGATCAGTCAAGCCTGTGTGCCTTTAGCGTCCGTCACCAGCTCAGTCATTGTGTAGGGACGCGCGATTGCTGACCACGCGCGGTGCCTGTGCGTGATCGCGCCCCCGGTTACAGGTGCGGGCGGCTGAGTCGCTGACGAAGCTCATCTCCGACATCAAGCAGTATCTCATCCTCAACGACTTCCCGTCGCTCAACGAGGCCATCACGGAAAACTCGCGTATGGCGCGCGCCACGCAGCTGGAAATCGATAAGAAGCTGACAGACCTCAAGGACGACATGGCGCGTGACCTGTACGAGCTCGAGGACGAATACTACTCTAGTGTCTACAAGTAGCGTCCAACTAGTTAACGGTGCGATTGGTGCCCAAGCCTCCGGCTGCTGGTCAGTTACGACACGCTGGCGCAGCATTTACAGTCGTACGATGCTGCCAGGTGGGATTTGCCGGGGATGCTGGTGCATGCGCCACCTGGAGCAATTTGCATGCTCTCGGCACGTTTTTTGCGAACGGTTAATTTTTCAGAGAAGTGACGTGGCCCATGTGCGTACTGGAGTGCGGGTGGCACCAGTGTCGCTAAGCTCCTGTTGGCTCGTGCGCTGTGCTCTGGGGCGCTCGCCTCTGAAAGCAGCGCTTGTGGCCGTTGCTAGGCGCCAGTGTCCACGCCCCCTTAGAAGCAGATCAATATTCTGGCCCGCAGACGATATCACGTCGAAGCCGCGAGTCGGCGCCTGCCGCGCTGTTGCCGTGCTTCCACCCGGACCCGTGTTTGGGCAGGCCCTTAGGCGACCGTAGCGATTGAGTAGCTTGTCCAAAGGAGGGAGGTGTGCGTCTGTAGTGATCACTCGGCCGATCCACCAACGCGGGAGGTCTCTGTTTGCTGGTCTACTCAGGATTGGCTAGGCTAGGCTGGTCGATGTGCGGTACAGTAGGTGAGAGTGTATAATTCCCCACTGGCATCACATGTTAAACGGTGTTCGCGGTCATGGATGTCTGGTGAGGATTTGAATACACATGTATAAATCCTTTCTTAGTCTGGAGAAGGAGCGCTCCTGCCAGAAGCTGATTAAAAGAATTGGGTCAAACCCATGTCTGATGCTAACCACTACAGCTCAAGACTAGCATCCCACCCCCCGCACTACCCAGGCGACAATATTTTGCCCAGGGCCCTATAGGCCAGGATATACGAATATACTCATCGAGTAGATATCGCCCTTTTGTAAATTAAGCTCAAAAGTGTCTCCCGGCACGTCTCCCAAACGCTTCCCCACGCTCCCCACTGGCCACGGGCTGACCGACCTTGTTGCGTCCTATGAGCAACTTGTATTCAAGTGGAAATTAGGATCCCAAAATGGTGAAGGTCTTCTTCCATCTAGCAGCAAGAACTTCACGTTCCTCTAAAAAAAACTCACTTCCGCTGCTTGAGCCTTTGGAGTCCAGACTGCGCTTGTTAGTATCAATGCGTACCGTACGTCGCGGTGCTTAGTGTAAATCGTTGCTAAACACCGCTCCCCTCTTAATCATAACTCATACTAAATATTCTCGAGGATGTGTCGCCTTGTAAGGACTACTGACTGGCGGCAACAAAATACACACGGCATCGGGTTTTAAAACTTCGATTCTACGACGCGCGCTGGTTTTATGAAGCATTTGTAATGTGTGCTTTATAAACGATAAACTATTCATAGCGAAATATGAAAGGTTTGTAACAAATATTTATGAGAAAGGCTACACGTATTGGAAACCCTAAGATTATGATTCTTGACATTGGAAATGCCAGCTGGTGGGTGAAACACTGGTGAGGGTTTTGTGTTTATCTGTTTTCTGTTTTTCATTCTGGCCGCCTCGCCTGCACTCCGCTTTTTGCCCTCTGTGCTCAATCCTGGGATTTCTGCTCCCGCTCAAGTCCTGTGTCGTCTGTCCTGGCCGGCCATCTGTCGTGCACTACATGTGGTTCTGCTGTTTCGTGTGTTCCATCCCGTCCCGTTGCCTCCGGTATCTAGCTTTGGAGCGAGGAGAACGTCATTGCTATATCTCTCACGTCAGAGCATACGCCACGGTGGCCTTTATCTACAATCGATTTTTCGGCGCTGTTACTATCATGATGAGTGGAAGGAACGTTGCATTAAGTTTTGCTTCATGCTAAGAAAGTTAACCAAAAAAATGTCGCGCGGTCTGAAACTCAGAATGGGAAAAAGTGAGTTCATACCAGGTGGTTCGTTCGAAATTCATCTCCGAAATACGGAGCCCTTAACGTTCCGGCGCCAACAGTACGTTGTGGCTTTGATATCTAAGAATCTAACCGTCTAATCAAAAATTCAAACAGTGGTTATCTCGGGCAACTTCACCCAACCCTTGATGTGACATTATGACATGCTTGACGATGTTACAGACATTGCAGATTACCTTAGAAATAATCGAAGTCTTCAGTGATTTCAGGGCAACTTTAACAGCTATTTTCAAACCAAAATCAGACAGGTATGCCAGCAATATTTGCCGTAGAGCTGTGTTACTCTGTGAAACGTTCGAACGTTTCCTTTTCCTTAGGATCATACCATAAAACTAGAATTTTGAACAGTCGTGTCAGTTGAGGCTGAGATCATGTCAGTTTAAGCCAAGATCATGTCAGTTCATGCTGAAGTCTTTCCAGTTCAGGCTAAGGTCATGTTAGGTCAGGCTAAGGACATATCAGTCCAGGCTGAGGTCTTGTCAGTTCAGGCTTAAGTCATGCTAGTTCAGGCTAAGGTCATGCCAGATCAGGCTGTCATGTCAGCTCAGGCTAAGATCATGTCAGGTCAGGCTAAGGTCATGTCAGCTCAGGCTAAGGTCATGTCAGCTCAGGCTAAGGTCATATCAACTCAGGCTTAGGTCATGTCAATTAAGGTAAGATCAGTTCAGGTTAAGGTCATGCCAGGTCAGGTCAGTTTATCTGATGCAATGGTTTCGCTTCTCCGGTCACGTGTTCCGTTTCTCCGGTCACGTGTTCCGTTTCTCTGGTAACACGAATTTCGCCTCATGTGACGTCCCATGGTAACCTAATGTAGGTAGTCTCGTGTGGTGTGAACGGCCCTGGCTGGAGGACAAGTCAAACTATGGTCGAGGATCTCGTGTTTGCCACGACGGTACAAGCTACCATGGCTTTACCAACATTTTGTGTCACCCCAATATTCTCACGATTAGCGAAGTGAGCAAAACTGGGGCTTATCAAAACTTTTTTCGTCGTATGTCATGGACGGGCCAAGCCATCCTTTTAAAGATCATTTTAAGCTCAGAAATAATTTATGGCGTAGACAGTGGAAGGAGTTTCCCAGGCTCAACAAAAATAAACTAAAGTTTACCACAGCTTTGTCTGCCGAGCGTGCCGTTATGTTACGGCTTCTTGTTTTCACTTTTAGAATTTCAGATGCATTTGAATGTTTTTCAGGTGCTCGGGCACCTCCGTTCATGGGCTCCGTCGTGGCCGGCTGGCATCGTACCTACAGATCCGGTGCGGTATCGTCAGTAACAGCACCATGTCACCAGCTCCGACGTAGTTTCACCGTGTTCGGCGCATCATCGTCACCTTCGTAGTATCACGATTAAGGACTGCTTAAATCTTGTCAGATCTTTACATGGCAAATCTTAGAATTCCTACGGACTGCAAATTCCAAAACCTGGTTGGGGCTGCCTACATGCATAACCGGACGAGGTGTTGCAGGTGCCGCCTCTTTCGGACAACTAACTGATCTTAAACTGGGGAACCCCACTGGGTATCCAGCGTTGATGCTCTGTAGCCAAGTCATTGCGACGGCACTGACTCCCTTGCTGCGCGTCAAGAACCGTCGCAGAGCAGCAGCTGTGCTTTTTAACCGCCCATTTGTCTCAGGTGCGAAGCCGGGAAATTTGGCATGGTATAGCGGTCTCCTCCGCCAGGTCGTGTTTTTTTGACATGTTTCCTGTTCAGAAAAATGTGTTGGACCGTCTACAGCAAGCTCAGAGATGCAACTTGTCTGTGGTCGTTTAAGTGTATTTTATTGCCGGCACGGGCTATGTGACATTCCATGTGAAACATTGAATTACTCATAAATGCCGTGGCGCATAGTGCACTATGCTTTGATGTGCATCTACGTTATGTCTTAAAGAAGGTGACATCGAGAAATACATAATGGAAACAGGTGTCGGGTTTTCGGAAAATTTTAGAAAACAAAACGAGGCTTGGGGTTGTGTGGAACTATAAAGAAGAAGGAATGTTTTGAGGAAGAGTCGAGGAGAGGAAGAAAGGCGTTGGAGAATAATGTAGTGGTGTAGAGGACAGGCTTGGTAAGCTGAAAAAGGAGGACATAGCGTGAGAAAGGCTCCTGATGAAAATCCTCAAAAGTTTACCGGAATTTACCTAATTTTCTTCACCTGATAATCCAGCTTTATCAGCGCTCGCGCTTTTAGGGAACGTGAATGGCTATTGCAAATTTAAGAGACCCTCAGATATGCGGGCGCGGGAGGGCGTGGGTATTACACTAGGATGGTAGGTAAAGATACACTAGATATACTAGACAGATATACTGGTGCATGGCACACTACTACACTAGTGATTGGCAGCACACCAGGGTGGAGGGCATTACCTTTCACGGTCAGTGGCTAAAGAACCTTTTCATCTCAGCCCAACGTATTCACCAGCTACCATCTACTACTCGCGACATCAGGATTGGGCTCGTTGGTCCACACGGAGACCCTAAGGAATGTATCGTATACCAGTGCCCTCCTCAACGCAGGCTATCTTCTGACCGGAGCAGCTGCAGCTGGATCGACATAGGGGCTCTCACAGACGCAAAAAGATCACTTACGGGCACAGCGGGTCCAATAATTTGCATGGGGGACTCAGTTCCACTTAACGAGCCAATGGTCGAAGCTGGGTAGAAGGCGCCCGTTCGTTACTGAGGCCTCCTGTCAGAATTGGAGCCCTTCTTCTTTCACATTGACTTATGTACCCTTTTACTGCTGTCAATCTTCTGTCGTTCTCAGAGGCCCCGAACCAAAGGCGAAAGCCTGTGTTGGGCTGTGATAGGTACCAAATGGGCCTCTGGCCGGCTCGAGCAGCACATAATGTATTATGTATGCACTGTGATCAGAGGGCTTCCTGTCCGACAAGGGAACTCCGACCAAAGCGACTTGTGAGGTCTTCTGAATGTCATTCGTGGCCCCAGACCTTGTCCATGCCTGGAAAATGGGCCTCAGTCCGACATAGGGTCGATTGTTGGTGATCTCGACCGAAGTGGGGGAGTTTTCACGGGGGGGGGGGCCCTTTCACCGCCAGAGGCCCTCTGATTGACATCAAAGGATCCCGGCCTTTCGGGCAGGAGACCCCCCGACCAGTCCCTAGGCCCTCTGAGCCCTGCAATGATTTTCAACCCCGAGGGACCCACCGGATCCCGAGAGACCGAAGGGGCCACATGCCTGTTGTGCCCGTTCCCCATACCCTCTCCCTTGTCTGGGCCAGTATGTGAGATGACATTGTATCAACAATGGTGGCAAATGGATGCCACTGAACGTACCTATCAGATTAGTTATGTTTACAACTGCTACGTGATTAATTTAGTGCTTGCTTATCACGTATTCATGGCAGTGTTTTAAGAACTGGTTATGTCTCACCGTCGCCACATGTGTCTATTCTGTTCCCGCCCGTGTACTGTCTGCACGTCCGTCAATCTCGCGGCAGATTGATATTCATTTGCCAGTACGTCTGTCAATCTAGCAGCAGATTGATATCCAGTCGCTAGTTGGATATTGCGGGGCGTCTCGATTGCCTTGAAATTTGGTGTGCAGGGCCTCCTCAACACCCTGATTCCGAAAATCACTGCCCTTGGGGTGGAATTTTGCGTAATTTTCGAGTTATACGCCGCGTAACATCCCAATGGGATATTGCGGGGCGTCTCGATTGCCTCTAAATTTGGTATGCAGGGCGTTCTGAACACGCTGATTCCGAAAATCAACGTCTTTGGGGCGGAATTTTGCGTAATTTTCGAGTTATACGCTGCGTAACATCACAATGTGATATTGCGGGGCGTCTCGATTGCCTTGAAATTGGGTGTGCAGGGCCTTCTCAACACGCTGGTTCCGAAAATCACTGTCTTCGGGGTGGAATTTTGCGTAATTTTCGAGTTATACGCCGCGTGACACAACAGTTGGATACTGCGGGGCTTCTCGAATGCCTTGAAATTTGGTGTGCAGGGCCTTCTCAACACGCTGATTCCGAAAATTACTGCCTTTGGGGTGGAATTTTACGTAATTTTCGAGTTATACGCCGCGTAACATCCCAATGTGATATTGCGGGGCGTCTCGATTGCCTCCAAATTTGGTGTGCAGGGCCTTCTCAACACGCCGATTCCGAAAATCAGTACCTTTGGGGTGGAATTTTCTGTAATTTCCGAGTTATACACCGCGTAACATCCCAATTTGATATTGCGGGACGTCTCGATTGCGTCCAAATTCGGTGTGCAGGGCCTTCTCAACACGTTGATTCCGGAAATCACTGCCTTTGGGGTGAAATTTTGCGTAATTTTCGAGTTATAAGCCGCGTAACACAACAGTTGGATCTTGCGTAATTTAATGATATTGTAATTTTCGAATTATACGCCGCGTCACATCCCAATGTGATATTGCGGGGCGTCTCGATTGCCTCGAAATTTGGTGTGTAGGGCCTTCTCAACACGCTGTTTCCGAAAATCACTGTCTTTAGGGTGGAATTTTCCGTAATTTCCGAGTTATACGCCGTGTAACATCCCAATGTAATATTGCGGGGCGTCTCGATTGTGTCCAATTTTGATGTGCAAGGCCTTCTCAACACGCTGATTTCGAAAATCACTGTCTTTAGGGTGGGATTTTGCGTAACTTCCGAGTTATACCACGTGTGACACCTCAGTTGCGCTTTGGAATATGTGTCCTGGAATTCGACTTTGGGCCTGTCCGTATCAGTTCACTGGAGAAGGTCAGTTCGCGACATGTGAGTGATAACCGTGTGGTATGCGATATCATTGACTTGGTGATATCACCTAGTGGCATCCCTTTCAGCTTTGTTTCTTTTCTGATCTTTAAGGTGGTTGAGTGATAGTCCGACGCAGTCACGGGCATTGTTTATCCTGACCAAAAAACTGACAAGATGTCGCTGGTGATCAAACCAATCGTGCCTCACTGCTGGAGCATGAAGATTTGGGTGATGTCACCGTCTGTCTTATCTCCCAAGGACGCTGGTGACGCAGGTGGAGCAGCGCATGCTACTTGTGTACGCCATGCCCATGTTGTTGGCTGGCCGGCCACATCAGCCCGCTGCTCCTGACCGTGGTGGAGACGCAGATTTTGGAATCAGCGTGTTAAGAAGGCCCTGCACACTAAATTTGGAGGCAGTCGAGACGCTCCGCAATATCACATTGAGATGTTACGCGGCGTATAACTCGAAAATTACGCAAAATTCCACCCCAAAGGCAGCAATTTTCGGAATCAGCGTGTCAAGAAGGTCATGCACATCAAATTTGGAAGCGATCGTGACGCCCCAGAATATCCAACTGGCAATGGGATATCAATCTGCTGCTAGATTGACAGACGTGCTGTCTGTTCGATACAACGCTCTCTTCCCTTGTGGTCAGTTCTGAATATAGACCGGGTTGACCTTCGCCCGTTATTGATATGAGAGTGATTTAAGAAGGGACCGAAACATGGTGGCAGCCGCGGGACTGATCGAAAGTGGTTCTTGTAGCGCTATAGAATAAATAGCGGTCTGTGAGATAATCTTCCCACTGGTCAGCGAACGTCCCAAGAATTTGAGACAAACGTGGCGCAGCCTTGAACTGGACTGAAAAATGTCAATTGATGAAACTGAAAACCGAAGACCCGTAGCTATTCCAGGCATTCGCCCTCCTCGGCCATTCTCACTGGCAGGCAATGCGGTAGAAAACTGGAAGATTTTCAAGCAAAGATGGTCCTCATATACTATCCTCTCAGGTTTTGATAGCCTAGGCAAAGAGGTGCAGGTAGCACTCCTGCTGAACCTGTTGGCGGATGATGCCCTCAAAACCTACAATGGGTTCCAGTTTGAATAAGTGGAAGATGACATAACAGTGAAAGAAATTATGGACAAGATGGAGAGTTTCTGTGTGGGCGAAGTCAATGAAACCTATGAACGATTTATATTCCACAGCAGAAAGCAGGCTGAAGGAGAGACAATGGACAGTTTTCTCTCAGAGCTGAGAACACTGGTGAAAACTTGTGGGTTCCGTGACAGCTGTCTACCTTCCATCATTATGGACAGGATTGTGTTGGGTATCAGCGACTCAAAGGTGCAGACAGAGCTGCTGAAATGCAGGAACCTCACCTTGGACAAATGCATCGATATATGCAAAGCCGCAGAAAGTGCACAGGCCCAGAACGGACCCATGAGGCCAAGTGAGGTTATCAACAAAGTCACCGGCAGAGAGAGAAAAGGTGACGTCAGAAGGCAAAACCCGAGAAACCAAGGCATGGAAGTGAGATCGTGCAAGTTCTGTGGTGGACAACTCCCAATGAAGAAAGGACTGTGCCCTGCCTTTGGGAAGACATGCTCAAAATGTGGCCTGAAAACCACTATGCATCAAAGTGCTTTACTCCGCAGCACATAGTGCACCAGATGCAAGAGAGAGAAGGGCCTGAGTGAGTCAACATGATGGAGGTGGAAAGGGAGGCCAAGGGCAAAGACGTGAAGTGTCTCATGATGGTTGATGGAGAAGAAGTAAGGTTCCAGATTGACACAGGATCCAGCGTCAACCTGCTGCCCAAGAAGTGCGCCACATCCATCCACCAACAATATGCTCCGCACATGGGACCAAGGCGACTTCAAGCCGGAAGGTGTGCAGGAGGGTTGTTAAAAACCCCAGGAACGGACGACCGTACTCTGTCGAGTTCCTAGTGTATGAAGGAAACCTGACCCCACTGCTTGGCCTGAGAGCGAGCCAGCAGATGAACTTGATCAATGTTCAAACCGACAACTTCGTTCAGGGCAACAACCTGAAAGTGGAGGATGACTTCAGCGATGTCCTGAAGGGAGACATCGGAATGCTAGAAGGACCACATCACCTGAAAATGAGACCTGGTGTGCAGCCTGTGGTCATGCCAACATGGAGGGTCCCCATCTCTGTGTGAGGGTTGAGCAACCAACTCCATGGGTGAGCCAAATGGCTGTCACTGAGAAGAAAGATGGTAGCCTGAAAATCCGCATCGACCCACAGGAGCTGAACAAAGCACTTCAAATGGAGCACACCACTCTGCCAGTGCTGGAGGACACACTTCATGAGCTGGGCCAGTCCCGGATGTTCTCCAAGATGGACCTCAAGTCAGGGTACTGGCACGTCCAGATGGACAAGGAGTCCAGCCTGCTGACCACCTTCCAAGCGTGTTTCGGCAGGTACAGATGGCTTCGTCTACCATTTGGATTCTCTGTATCAGCAGAGATCTTCCAGAAGAAGCTCCAAAAAGCACTGGAAGGCGCCAAGGGAGTCGTCTGCGTGGCTGATGACGTCATCATCAACGGCAAGAACCAAGAGGAGCACGACACCAACCTGAAAAAGTTCCTGGAAAGATGCCGAGAGAAGGGGATCCAGCTCAACAAAGAGAAGAGCAAGTTCAGGGAGAAGTCCATGGTGTTCATGGGACACCTGGTCACTGAAGATGGTCTGCAGTCAGATCCAGAAAAAGTAAGGGCCATCACGAGCCTGTCTGCCCCAGAGAACCTCAACGAACTCAGGAGATACCTGGGCATGGTGAACTACTTGTCACGGTACCTCCCTCACGTGACCACGGTGCTTCATCCGCTGCAGAACCTGCTGAAGAAGGAAGTGCCATGGACGTGGAGCGAGCACCATGAAAAAGCGTTCCAGGAAACCAAGAAGATGATCGAGGCGAACGTGAAGCTGGCCTACTACGACCCGAACAAAGACCTGGTCCTGGAAAACGACGGCTTAGAGTATGCACCGGGGTCTGTGATGATTCAAGAGGGCAGGTCGGTGGCGTTCGCCAGCCGTACTCTCTCCCCAGCAGAGCGTGACTACGCCCAAATCGAAAAGGAGATGCTGGTGGTGAAGTTCGGTCTGGAGAAATTCCACCACTACGCGTACGGACGTCCCGTCACGGTGGTAACAGACCACAAGCCGCTCGTCAGCAACAGGATGAAGCCCCTGGCCAAGGCACCAAAAAGACTACAGAACATATTGCTGAACACGCAGAAGTGCGACTACCAGCTGATCTTCAAGCCCGGAACGGAGATCCCAGCTGCTGACGCAATATCCTGAACACCGCCGAGCGCCGCTGGACAAGAAAACGCGCCAGTCCACGCGGTGTACGCGGCACCATTCAACCAGGAGCGGCTGGATGAGATCCGGGGAGCGACCGACAGAGACGGCGCACTGCAAAAACTGAGAGAAACAATCATGGTCGGCTGGCCAGCAGAGAAAAACGGCCTACCAGAAGCCGTCGTGCCCTACTTCAACTGCAGGGACGAGCTGTCTGTCCATGATGGCATCATCGTGAGAGGAGACCGAGTGGTCATCCCCAAGACAATGAGAAAGGAGATGTTGGTCAAACTGCATGCGGGGCACTCTGGCATCAACTCCTGCCTCAGAAGAGCCAGAGATTTCATCTTCTGGCCAGGGATGTCGAACGACATACGAGAGTACCTGGCGGTGTGTGACACCTGTGCTTTAAGTCCATCTGGTCAAGCACCAGAGCCCATCTTCGCTCATGCTGTACCAGAACGCCCCTGGGAGAAGGTGGGCACAGATCTCTTCCACGTCGAAGGCCGAAATTACCTTGTCACCGTGGACTACTCTAGCCAAGTCGTGGAAGTGGACTACCTGCAGGAAACAACGTCACAGGCTGTGGTCAGCAAACTGAAAGGACATTTCGCCAGACACGGCATCCCGGACATCGTCGTCAGTGACAACGGTCCGCAGTTCTGGAGCAGCCACTTCGCTAGCTTCGCAAAGTCCTGGCTGAGCATCAGCCGTCGAGCCCCGGCAACAGCAAGGGCAACGGTGCAGCAGAGGCAGATGTGAAGACTGTAAAGCGCCTCATGAAGAGAGCCCGAGCAGCGGGAGAGGACCCGTACCTGGGACTTCTCAACTTACGGAACACACCCCAAGAGGGGATGGATACGAGCCCGGCTCAGCGACTCATGAGCCGCCGGACCAGAACCGTGGTCCCGACGTGCGGCGCGTTGCTGCAACCTCACCTCAACAAAAACCAGAGGGAACAGCTCGAAGCCAAAAAGGCTGCAACGAAAGAGAGAAACACAGGAAGAAGAGTCTTGAAGCCCCTCAACGTGGGTGATTGCGTCCGGGTGCAGCCCATCGACGGCAAGACGAACCAGACCTGGAAAAAGGCCGTGGTCACGAGCGTGGTGAAGCCCCCGAGATACCAATTCGAGAACGAAGACGGAGTCGTCCTCGGGAGAAATCGCCAGTTCCTCCGGGCGTCCCAGCCATCGAGCCTCGGTGTCATCAGCCGACAGCTGAAGAAGCCCCGATCGCGGCCCCAGTCCCGACTCGGGTCCCACGAGAGACTAGAGCCGTGCCGGCTGCGGTGTCAGCCGACATTACCCAGTGTACCCGATCTGGGAGACCTGTTCGACCCCCTCACTAAGATGAACTTGTAAAGTAAGCTCTCAGACTTAAAGGAGGGGGATGTTGCGTGATTAATTTAGTGTTTGCTTATCACGTATTCATGACAGTGTTTCAAGAACTGGTTATGTCTCACCGTCGCCAAATGTGTATTCTGTTCCCGCCCGTTTACTGTCTGTTCGATACGACGCTCTCTTCCCTTGTGTTCAGTTCTGAATATAGACCGGCTTGACCTGCGCCCGTTATTGATATGAGAGTGATTTAAGAAGGGAACGAAACAACAACAAGCCAACCTTATTACGCTGCGGGGTCCCATCTGCACGAAACTTCAAGATCACACCGCATGTCTGGCGCTGGTAACTATCTTGGGCCGGTCGCCCCTCTCCAATGAAATAATATCAACATGAAACACCGCTCTCGTTACACTTTGCCGAGTACATTGCAACCAATAATGTGCATATCGGAGCGCCGGTCGTGAGCCCTCGGGCTTTGTTAGTAGGCATAACGCGGAAGAAGCGTTTTCCCATAGCGCTACGCGAAAGTCAGTTTTTGGCTGTAGCTCGGTCCAAAATTGAACTGTTTGAAAAGTTTAAAAAGTTCAGACTCCTTTCGACGCTGCGCATTATCTATGTTTTACCACAAAAAGATTCGTTGACCAGTATTCTTCCCGTGCTAACTTAAATCAAGGTTCAAACAGTAACCTGTACACGCATGAACGGAGATAAAACATCATGTCAGCGTGCTGATTTCGGTCCACAAATTTTGCCTTCATACTGGATCGAACTAGTACCTCCGCAAATTTCATAACCATAGCTTAATCGGAAGTGACGTAAAGGGGCATTTGAGAATGGAGGATGAATCTACCGCATCGACTTTCCGGGCGAGAATAAATTCACCGCCGATAGGGATAAAATCACCACCATTGTTTTAAATCTTAAAATCGGACACCAGCAGAACACAAAATTCGCGCACAATGATTACCTCTAGCGGTTCCCCCCCCCCCCAGAAAAAAAAAATCATTTTACGATTCCAGCCGCTCATGGGGGTCAATTGTCGAATGACGTGCCTTTTCTTGCGCAATACACCTCCGAAAATGGTTTTGAATTGGCCTATTGGTCAGCAACAATGATTTTCCAAATGCTGCTTAAAAATCGTATGAGGCGATCAGGGTCATATTTCTGGAAGTTAACTCACTATGTTACGGAAATGGCATTGTGTGAGAAGACGTAGGGCACGACAATACACTCACAGGTTTTGTTGTCGTGGACTTCACATTCTGACATTAGCCAGCACTGTTGGAGCACTTTTAACGTGTTGTACTGGTTGTTCGAATATTATAAAGCGAGGCATCTCGCATTTGCAGTCATGTTCCCTACAAAACATAGCGTTTTACATTGTATTTTGATTTAAGCTATTTGCGTCACTCCATCTTGTAAAGAAGCCGGGTAATACGCTTGAGCACACCTTATTATTACATATCAAAATATGCCATGCAACTCTAAAAATGCGTTGATTTCCACTTGCCGTCAGTAATTTGCTACAAATTTTGGCGGGCTGCAAGAAGAGGGCTGTGAAAAGTAATTGGCATATCAACAGCTTAAGCTAGCTGGGGTCGAGTTGTCAGGGTACCACAAACAGGCCGAGTTTCGACATTCAAGTGCGAAAATAAAACATAGCAAAACCTGCAGAAAATTATTAGGCTACTAGAGGAGCTTACTTTTTTGTTTTCTTTTCTATAGTGCTGGTACTTTTGAATGTTGCACATAGCAATCGGTTGATCAAAGAGACACGTGTTCCAAGTATTTCATCTGAAGTGTTTAACACCTTAATAAGTTCATGGGACTCCGACGTGTAGTGTTTTTTTTAAGCAGGGACCTAGAATCGCTTTCGAACTAGGATGGGAGTGAAAAACTCCATCGCAAAAAGACCGTGCGGGAGTGAAAAAGTCAATTCTCAAAAGATGGAGCTTATAGGCTCGTGACTGATGCTTCAGCAAACAAAGACATCTATTTCAAGTTGGCGTGGACGTATAATCAGGAACCTGACAAAACGATTTCGTTTTTGTTAACATCTTAGGCCATTAAAGTGAAACAGAATACATTAACACGCGCTCGGGTGGGGGGTGGGGGGCAAATTGACCCCCCCCCGAGGGCTTTTCCTGAAACAAAACGAAATCGTTTTGTCAGGTTCCTGATATACGTCCACGCCAACTTGAAATAGATGTCTTTGTTTGCTGAAGCATCAGTCACGAGCCTATAAGCTCCATCTTTGAGAATTGACTTTTTCACTCCCGCACGGTCTTTTTGCGATGGAGTTTTTCACTCCCATCCTAGTTCGAAAGCGATTCTAGGTCCCTGCTTAAAAAAAACACTACACGTCGGAGTCCCATGACTTATTAAGGTGTTTAAACACTTCAGATGAAATACTTTGAACACGTGTCTCTTTGATCAACCGATTGCTATGTGCAACATTCAAAAGTACAGCACTATAGAAAAGAAAACAAAAAAGTAAGCTCCTCTAGTAGCCTAATAATTTTCTGCAGGTTTTGCTATGTTTTATTTTCGCACTTGAATGTCGAAACTCGGCCTGTTTGTGGTACCCTGACAACTCGACCCCAGCTAGCTTAAGCTGTTGATATGCCAATTACTTTTCACAGCCCTCTTCTTGCAGCCCGCCAAAATTTGTAGCAAATTACTGACGGCAAGTGGAAATCAACGCATTTTTAGAGTTGCATGGCATATTTTGATATGTAATAATAAGGTGTGCTCAAGCGTATTACCCGGCTTCTTTACAAGATGGAGTGACGCAAATAGCTTAAATCAAAATACAATGTAAAACGCTATGTTTTGTAGGGAACATGACTGCAAATGCGAGATGCCTCGCTTTATAATATTCGAACAACCAGTACAACACGTTAAAAGTGCTCCAACAGTGCTGGCTAATGTCAGAATGTGAAGTCCACGACAACAAAACCTGTGAGTGTATTGTCGTGCCCTACGTCTTCTCACACAATGCCATTTCCGTAACATAGTGAGTTAACTTCCAGAAATATGACCCTGATCGCCTCATACGATTTTTAAGCAGCATTTGGAAAATCATTGTTGCTGACCAATAGGCCAATTCAAAACCATTTTCGGAGGTGTATTGCGCAAGAAAAGGCACGTCATTCGACAATTGACCCCCATGAGCGGCTGGAATCGTAAAATGATTTTTTTTTCTGGGGGGGGGGGGGGAACCGCTAGAGGTAATCATTGTGCGCGAATTTTGTGTTCTGCTGGTGTCCGATTTTAAGATTTAAAACAATGGTGGTGATTTTATCCCTATCGGCGGTGAATTTATTCTCGCCCGGAAAGTCGATGCGGTAGATTCATCCTCCATTCTCAAATGCCCCTTTACGTCACTTCCGATTAAGCTATGGTTATGAAATTTGCGGAGGTACTAGTTCGATCCAGTATGAAGGCAAAATTTGTGGACCGAAATCAGCACGCTGACATGATGTTTTATCTCCGTTCATGCGTGTACAGGTTACTGTTTGAACCTTGATTTAAGTTAGCACGGGAAGAATACTGGTCAACGAATCTTTTTGTGGTAAAACATAGATAATGCGCAGCGTCGAAAGGAGTCTGAACTTTTTAAACTTTTCAAACAGTTCAATTTTGGACCGAGCTACAGCCAAAAACTGACTTTCGCGTAGCGCTATGGGAAAACGCTTCTTCCGCGTTATGCCTACTAACAAAGCCCGAGGGCTCACGACCGGCGCTCCGATATGCACATTATTGGTTGCAATGTACTCGGCAAAGTGTAACGAGAGCGGTGTTTCATGTTGATATTATTTCATTGGAGAGGGGCGACCGGCCCAAGATAGTTACCAGCGCCAGACATGCGGTGTGATCTTGAAGTTTCGTGCAGATGGGACCCCGCAGCGTAATAAGGTTGGCTTGTTGTTGTTTCGTTCCCTTCTTAAATCACTCTCATATCAATAACGGGCGCAGGTCAAGCCGGTCTATATTCAGAACTGAACACAAGGGAAGAGAGCGTCGTATCGAACAGACAGTAAACGGGCGGGAACAGAATACACATTTGGCGACGGTGAGACATAACCAGTTCTTGAAACACTGTCATGAATACGTGATAAGCAAACACTAAATTAATCACGCAACATCCCCCTCCTTTAAGTCTGAGAGCTTACTTTACAAGTTCATCTTAGTGAGGGGGTCGAACAGGTCTCCCAGATCGGGTACACTGGGTAATGTCGGCTGACACCGCAGCCGGCACGGCTCTAGTCTCTCGTGGGACCCGAGTCGGGACTGGGGCCGCGATCGGGGCTTCTTCAGCTGTCGGCTGATGACACCGAGGCTCGATGGCTGGGACGCCCGGAGGAACTGGCGATTTCTCCCGAGGACGACTCCGTCTTCGTTCTCGAATTGGTATCTCGGGGGCTTCACCACGCTCGTGACCACGGCCTTTTTCCAGGTCTGGTTCGTCTTGCCGTCGATGGGCTGCACCCGGACGCAATCACCCACGTTGAGGGGCTTCAAGACTCTTCTTCCTGTGTTTCTCTCTTTCGTTGCAGCCTTTTTGGCTTCGAGCTGTTCCCTCTGGTTTTTGTTGAGGTGAGGTTGCAGCAACGCGCCGCACGTCGGGACCACGGTTCTGGTCCGGCGGCTCATGAGTCGCTGAGCCGGGCTCGTATCCATCCCCTCTTGGGGTGTGTTCCGTAAGTTGAGAAGTCCCAGGTACGGGTCCTCTCCCGCTGCTCGGGCTCTCTTCATGAGGCGCTTTACAGTCTTCACATCTGCCTCTGCTGCACCGTTGCCCTTGCTGTTGCCGGGGCTCGACGGCTGATGCTCAGCCAGGACTTTGCGAAGCTAGCGAAGTGGCTGCTCCAGAACTGCGGACCGTTGTCACTGACGACGATGTCCGGGATGCCGTGTCTGGCGAAATGTCCTTTCAGTTTGCTGACCACAGCCTGTGACGTTGTTTCCTGCAGGTAGTCCACTTCCACGACTTGGCTAGAGTAGTCCACGGTGACAAG